GTTTCATTGTGATTCCTCATTTTCTAGTTGCTGATGAGCCTTAGGCAAAGCTCCAAACTCCAGGCAGAATTCCCACCAGGATACCTTGGTGCTCATCATAGGTTATGGTCCTGACAGTTAAATAATACAGTAGTCCTCTTGCCTGCGCTTCCTTGTCTGTATGCTGTTTGCCATCACCTTTCCTGCTGCACATATCCCACTCTGTCTTAGCGTTTGCATTTCTAAGCTAAGACCCTGAGTGAGGTTAGACTGCCTCTGGAGGTCAGCACGTACATCAAAATGACAGGGCGTGGCTCAATTATAACAGGCAGCTGGAATGCTAGTTTGAATACTTGGGATTAAATGTATGGGGGAAATGGGGTGGGAAGAGTTTCTGCAGACTGCAGCTACTCTCCTTCACAGGTCTACCTATATGGAGTTGCATTTGTACTTAACATATTTGTGTTTTAGGAATTACTGCATGGTAGAAAGTAATGATCCCATAGTAGCTACAGTACATGAGTATAGTTTTTAGACTTAATATGCATGTTTTATGCTTTAAATCAAGTTACATTGCTGTTTGTATAGAATTTAATATTTAATAATATGCTTCTGTGTACATTAAATAACCCTACCAACTGTATTTGAATCTCATCGCTGTATCTATCAAGTAAAGCAAATGTGTTCACATTGGATCCAAAGCATTCAAGGTTTAAACATTGCATAGACCTTGTTTTTCAGCTTGGCATAACATCAGATTGCTTCTGCTGAGGTCAGAATAACCTGTTTTGAGCAAGAAAGGACTTGTTCCTGGGATAGTTTGCTAGGCTATAAATTTGTTCAGTTTGTTCCAAGGTTGGAGACATGCCTCTGGCTTCAGACGAAAGAGACTGACTTTAAATTCTTCCCTCTCGTGCTACAATAGAAACCCAGGAAAGCCCCACCTGCCTTGATAAGAGAAAGAGTATGTCACATTAGATGGAAGGAGAGGATCCTAACACCCTTCCCCCAATTAATTGCATACAGCAAGATTTTTTTTTAAGAGAAAGTATTACTTCTGTTTTTCTTGTGTATAGTTGAAGGAAGCACTTAGATTTCCATTTAGTATTGATGTGCTTGATTAATCCTTTACCCATTTAATTGGGAGTGAGCTCCACTAAACGCAATATTGCTATAATTAAATAAGTAAATTTATATTAATTTTTGTGGAATTTGGTACTGAATGAAAATAACTGCATCCTAAATGATGTCACCAATATTGTCTAACTAGCTGTAAACCTGTGCTTTGTTACAAAACTGTGATCGGCCTTAGTTTTTGTGGAGGAAAATAAGGGGAAACAATTGTGCCTCTGCCTACCAGCATCCATTGGTATTCATCTGGCTACTGTCCTGTCAGTGTGTGAGAGAGTTGAGGGCTGCTTGTAAATTGAAACATGGAAACTGAAACAGTATTTGTTGTGTGAGCAAGAAGAAGACAACAAGGAGCCTGGGCATAGCTTAGCTCAACTGTTCTGTACTAAAGCTGGTTGCTGCCCTGAAACTGAAACTCCTCTCCTCTGCTTGTGTTTTGCATTTGGAATATATTTCAAGTGGGGAGGGAGTGTAGAACTCTTCAGCACCAGAGCATGTTATTAATATATGAAATATTAATGCTCTGATGGTCATTTCGAAAAATCCTTTCTTAGTGAACACCCAGAAGCCAAGAGAAAGATATGTGCCAAATTTCAAGTTTGTAGGCTTTACGATTCTGGAGATTTTGTGATGATGCTATCTCTGTCTGTCTGTCTATATCAGGTAAATTTCTAAAACATTTCTCAACTTGAATAAAATTGGAATCATCATTATTTTTTTCTCTTTTAAGTTAATATGCATGTATTTTCTTTTTTAGTTCAAGAATTAGATGGAAACCTTTCACCTTATGACCATGGAATAACATTGTTAAGAGAGAATAAGAAAGAGTCAATTTGATGTAATAATAAGAGGCTGACTTGAAATTAGGAGCCTTTGAGTTCTAGTCCTGCCTTAGGCATGAAAGCCAGTTGGGTGACTTTGGGCCAGTCGCACATTCAGTCCAACCCACCTCACAGGAGTAGTGTTGTGGGGAAAATAGCGGGAGGAAGAACTATTATGTATGTTCGCCACTTTGAGTTACTTATCAAGTAATACAGGAGGGATAAATACCTAATTTAACTTGTTTGTAGAAAAAGGAATGAGTATGCTTGTACTTCAGGTTCTCTTTGCATTGTATTCTTCCTTTGAATTTCTCAAAGAAGTGCACCTGACTAATCCTCATGAAAATTTATTTAGAAGATAAATCCTTATTTTTAATTAAATCTTACATTTAGTGTTTATTTTTGTTGTGTAGTTTTATTATGTGCATCACTATATTAAGCTATTTGGTATTCTTTTAATGTTTTGTGGCGGCACTTTTTAGGCTGAAGACCAATAGCATGTAAGCGGACATAATTCAGTTTATTTATTAATCAAATTTATATAGCTCATAATAAGTGATGGTACAATAGTAGATCAGGACCATGGCTAAGTACAGCCTTATTGTTGCATGACTTAATGATAGACGCCTCTCCCCTCCCAAACAATCGTGACATATATTATTTAAGAAATTAAAAGCTGCATAATACTGCAAATTAAACAGTCCATTGTTATTCAGTATAAACATTATTTAAATATTTTCAGTACAAAAATTCTTAGAATCTGTAATCACAGACATTTATGTTTATAGGTGAGAAAATATAAGCATGTAATTGTCTTAACTGAAAGGCAGATATCCATTTCAAAATTAATCTACAAAACGTACATTTTGAAAGCTGTGGTGTATTTTAGAATACACATTGGAGGAAACAAAATTCTGCATTATCTACTATTTAATATTTTAATAAGCATTAAAGAGATTGGAGAAAAAACTTTTAAACAAATGAAAATATTGACAATATATTTCATGAAAATATTCAGAATAATTTTCTCCAGTTTACATTCAGTTAAAAGCAGGTCAAATACACCTTTTGCAGAAATATTGTGTAAAAAACGTTGAAAAGGAATTTATACCGTGTTTCTTCAACAATACAGCTTCCACCAATAGGAAGGCCCAGCATGATTTCTAGGCATGAGATGAAATTAAGCCCCGCCCCCAAAATTTAGGCCTATTTAATCCATACGTTTCCCTGCCATTTCTCACATTGTTCGTTAAAACTACACGAGATGAAGAGAAATGGGGAAGGGGAGGGAGAAAACTTGCCTTTAGGAGCATCCTGCAGGTAGCCTAGGCTAGAATACCCCAGTCTACTACCGGTAGAACATTGGTCGATAGAAGCTCCCCGAAGGCAGAGTCACCAGCCACTTCTATCAGCCGGTAGAAGCGGCCTTGGGGCAAGCGCCCACGCGCACTCCTCTCACCACGAAGTCATTTTTATCGGCTGATGGAAGCTCCCCAAAGGCAGAGTCTCCAGCCGCTTCGGGGCGAGGTGTGGTTGCCCACAGAGCGCTCCTGACAGGAGTGCCCCACGCACACTCCCCTTGCCACGAAGCCGTTTCTATCGGCCGATAGAAGCTCCCCAAAGGCAGAGTCACCAGCCACTTCTATCGGCTGTTAGAAGCGGCCTCAGGGTGAGCACCCACACGCAGTCCCCTCGCCACGAAGCCGTTTCTATCAGCCGGTAGAAGTGGCTTTGTGGCGAGGGGAGTGTGCGTGGGGTGCTCGCCCTGAGGCTGCTTCTACCGGCTGATAGAAGTGGTTGGTGACTCTGCCTTTGGTGAGCTTCCATCGGCCAATAGAAACGGCTTTGTGGCGAGGGGAGTGTGTGTGGGGTGCTCGCCCTGAGGCTGCTTCTACTGGCTGATAGAAGTGGTCGGTGACTCGCCTTTGGTGAGCTTCCATTGGCCAATAGAAACGGTTTCGTGGCGAGGGGAGTGTGTGTGGGGTGCTCGCCCTGAGACCTCCGCCGGCCAATAGAAGCGGCTGGTGACTCTGCCTTTGGGGAGCTTCCATCAGCCAATAGAAACAGCTTCGTGGGGAGGGGAGTGTCCGTGGGGCGCTCGCCCTGAGGCCGCTTCTACCGGCTGATAGAAGCGGCTGGTTACTCTGCCTTTGGGGAGCTTCCATTGGCTGATAGAAACGGCTTCGTGGCAAGGAGAGTGTGCGTGGAACGCTCCTGTCAGGAGCACCCCATGGGCAGCCATGCCTCGCCCCAAAGTGGCTGGTGACTCTGCCTTCGGAGAGCTTCCATCGGCTGATAGAAATGGTTTCGTGGCGAGGGAGTGTATGTGGGCGTTTGCCCCGAGGCCGCTTCTACCGGCTGATAGATTTCCTCCCCCACGCACACCCCCACCTAGAGTGCCCCATGCGCACTCACCTCTCCACGACGCTGCTTCTACCGGCCAATAGAAGCGGCTGGTGACTGCCTTCGGGGAGCTTCCATTGGCTGATAGAAGCATCCTTATGGAGAGGTGAGTGCGCATGGATGCTCTAGGTTGGGGTGTGGGGGGGGAGGAAATTATTTCACCCTCGAAAAGACGTCCTAGCCTTTTTTTCGGGGCTCAAAAAAAAAAAAAAAAAAAAGACCTGGCCTTATTTTATGAGAAACATGGTAGAACTCTCAGCTTGACTTGCTTTAAAAAAAATTACTTGCCTTGCTAAGCTCAAGCCCCTCCAGGCAGCATAAAATAAAAATAAAAAACAAACTTGGCGCTGGCTGCAAAAACCACCGGATCTTGTTTGGCCATGTGACCAGGGGGGAAAAACACCCTGAGCAGCTTCAGGAAATGGCATGTTGTAACCTTGAAAAGCAAATGGATGTTACAGAATTAAAAATGGCCACCCCACTGCTGCAGCAGTGACTGAATTCAAGTCACATGGCTACAGAGGCCTCTATTTGGTTGCAATTTTGAATTTCTAAGTAAGTACTGGATAAATTTGTTCTTGTGAAAATTTGCTAAATGAACAGTCGTAAGGGGTTTTCTGTATGTTCCATTTTTCCTTGTGTAAAGGGTTTATCTTTATTTTTCAGAGTCTCTCTGGATTTCTGCTGTACTCAAGTTTTAGTGTAAACTCAGTTCAAAGAAGAAACTATGCAGCGAAGGCACAAAGGATTAAATCCTGGAATGCTTCTCCTCCTTTCTCAGCTCTATCAAGTTGGGTTTAACAACATTCCACCTGTCACGCTTGCAACCTTGGCAGTGAACATTTTCTTTTTTCTACAACCCCTGAAACCTCTGGACAAAGCATGTATTAGTGTCAATTATTGTCTTTACAAAAAAGATTGGCATCGTTTGTATCTTTCAGCATTTCACCATGCAGATGACTGGCATCTATATTTTAATATGGTCTCCTTGCTTTGGAAAGGAATTAAATTGGAGAAAAGGCTTGGAACTATGTGGTTTGGATATATAATTGTACTGTTTTCACTACTTGTGGGAGCTGTATACCTATTTCTGGAAGCTATACTGGCGGAACTTCTTGGTGATCCTTTATATGAACATCACTGTGCTGTTGGTTTTTCTGGTAAGGTGTTCTTTATTATGCTTCCACCTTTTTTATAAGACTATTATTTATTGCAAATGCTAGCTGTTAGGAAATAGATAACATGTATTTAGGAAAGATGAAATCAGCATGTTTTTGAATGATACAATAAAACACAACTTTGTTACTGTTAACATTTTTCTAGTAGTCTCTCATAAAGGAAACTAAAAGACAAACATATGGACTTCCAGGAAAAATGGCAGATTGAAAATGGTTCTGTGAAAAGTGGATCTAAAATATACACGGCTACGAATAGGAAATTGGCAAGTAGATCAACTGCTTCAACCCTCTTAATAAAGAGAGGACCCTGGAGGGAGGATGGATCAGGATGGGAATTTGCTGTAATTGCTCCAGTCACAAATGAAGCCTTTTTAAAGGACTTGCTAATCATTTTTGGACATTGCCGCCAACTCCTTCAAAGTGACACAATTATAAATAACGTGAAGTGTCTTCAAGCCTTACTACAAGAAAGTAAAAATTTAAAGATTTTGGCTACAGAAAGCTTTAAACAGATTAAGGGCTCTGAAATTTTTGGAATATTGAATTTTGAATAATATTTTAAAATTAAAATTAAAGAATAAATACATTCTTGTGGGAAGGGAAACCTTTTGCATATTGAAGACATAGCAAGACAAGCAATTTAGAGTGGCATTCAGAGATATCTTTGAGGAATTGCATTAGGATTTGATAATGTCAGCTTTGTTGTGTCTTGGGAACAGTCTGTTTCCCAGAAAAAGATTACAAAAAGAGATATGCAACAAAAATTATCTGTGAACAATATCGAGATTTTGAATATAATTTGTCATTAGAATCAAAAGAAAATGGATGAGGCTTTAAAAAATAAGGAAATAAAAATAATCCCAATTTTTCTAGACTTATAAAATAGGCTGTATTGTAAATTGAAACAACTAAATGGATTACAGAGAAATATTGTTCTGTATTTAAGAAAGTAATACATCAGTTTTTTTAGCAGATTTACAACAAGATGTTATTTTTGTGGTTCTTTTTGGATGTTGATAATCTGGACTGAAAAAGTAGCATATTGGATTTGCATATATTTAATATGGAATTTACTCCTTTCACCACACAATGACTTTGTGTATTCTAATTTGATAGCATTTAAACGGTATCCAGCTGTCTATTACTTAAAGTAATGAAATTTTGTAAACTTGTTTAAAAGATAAATGTTAAATTTGTTAAATTTTAGTCTTTGTTTGCATTAGAATACTGGGATTAATTTATATTATAATGAATGTTTATGTTTTATAGTAGAGATGTGGAATGTTTATTTGAATGTGATATGTGGGGTGGGTTTCTTTGAAATTATTGGCATTTGGAATGGAAAAACGTATATTGAATCTTGAGAGAAATGATCCTTTTTTGTCATATTAGATTTTAGATTTTTGTTTAGACTAGGATATCGGGACCATTTATGCCTTTTAAATGGGAGTTTGCTTGCAGCTAAGAATTGTGAGATATAATAATTAATCTTATTTTAGAACTCTATTTAAACTTTTTAGTGATAACTGGATTGAAAAAGATGTTACTTATTTGATTTTCCTACTATTAAGGTATAATTTATAGAATAAAGAGTTTCATGGTTGTTAATTAAGAAGAGTTGAAAAGATAATGAAATTGTTTATACTTGTGGCATACCAAGAGCAACAGATCCTCCATATTCTTTAGTTTTTATATTACTTGAGAAGTCTGCTTGATGTGATCTTTTTTCTTTATTTTTATATAGGAGTGCTATTTGCTTTGAAAGTTCTTAATAACTATTACCATCCAGGGGGATCAACCAATATTATGGGCCTGAATGTATCCAATAAATACTCCTGTTGGTTGGAACTTCTAGCAATCCATATATTAAATCCACAGTAAGTCTGCTGTCAGTCATTTAGAATTAGAATTACTTTGTATAAATGTATCTAGACATTACTGTAATGAATAATAGTTACATATCAACAAGTTCTCATCCAATCTGAATTGTGCTTTTTAACAAAAAAATGTTTATTATAGTGAAAATAGGGGATATAAGAAGAATTTGATCAAAGATTTTTTTAAGGCTTGGCATATGTGCAGAGAGTTTGTGCATGATAATAGATAGGTTTTGCTAATGTGATACTTATGCCATGTAGTTAAACAATAAGCATATTGCATTACCAATTTACCATGGTTTATAAATCACTGCCTCATTTCATGCAGCATATTCATAATCAAACATTATTTTTGTGAGATACATAGAACTATGTCTGTATATTAATATTAAAAGTTTTTTTTAAACAGAAGCAACTGCTCCTTCCTAAACAGGAAATGGTGTTTTTCAAACAAATCCTCATTTCTCTCTTACAATCATTGGGAATATGGAAACAATATGATTTAAGCACTAGGAATAGCAAGCTCCCTTCATTTTAGGTGGGGATGCGAGATAATCATTCCCCTATAATATCTTGCTATGGTAATTTGTCAGTTGAAGTTAGCTTTAAGAGTAGTCATGTTGTAATCTGAAAAGGTTTTTTTTTCTATATTTTTTTCTATATACCTTTTAAAATAAAAATTAACTTCAAAGATTAGAATCAATCTTATCTACAGTTAGCATTTATTTCTTCTTCATGTTTTGCTTTAGATTGTAATTTTTAAAAATATACCTTTGATACTTGAGAATTCTGAAAGTATAAATAGAAAGATAATTCCACCCTTTTAGCTCTTTATGATCTAAATAAAGAATTTGGATATGAGTGCAATTTAGTGCAAAATGAATTATTTTGGATCATAAAAATGGGGCATTATTTTAGATCATTGTTACTTCCCAAAATTTTTGAGATAGTGAAGTGCATGTCTCCTTTAAATATATTAAACTCTTAAAATTTTAAATATGTCCAATGGAGTGAAGGTTAATGAGGTTACAGAAAGTTTCTAATCAGAAACAATACATCTCACAGAAAATTGCTTTCATTTTAGGAGTTCTTTTGCAGGACATCTGGCAGGTATTCTTGTTGGCCTAATGTACACCATGGGACCCCTGAAGATTTTCATGACAGCATGCACAGGTAATAAGGACCCTAGAACTTCCCAAGCATTGCTGTTCAATATAACTTTAAAGTGATTATAAATTGTAGTTCATAACTTTAGAATTATGCTATATGGTGCTTACATTCTATATATATGATTTGATATTTCTGTACATTTCTGATAAAATTAAGTTTGCTATAATATTGGATTTTATGGGGGTGAGGGTTCATTTCCCAAGTTTGTGGGTTGGTTTCCAAACTCTTCGTTACCAGGCTAGATAAAATCTTCAGCAAAGTTTAAGGCAGGGGTGTCAAACACACATCATAGCAGCATCATGTGACATATCAGGACTTCCCCCCTTTGTTAAACCATGCATGGCCCACACATGGCACATTCAGCCCATAGGCCAGAAGTTTGACAACCCTAATTTAGGGGGTGTCCATGTTCTTCTGTTTATAAGGGTTTCAGGTGTGGGTATGTCAATTGAGGGTCCTGTGATGGGTCAACTGTGAGTCATCAGTGAGTCTTGTGATTACCTGATGTAATCTCCTAATCACAAAACCCATCACAAGACTCACTGATGACTCAGATGATCCATCACAAGACCCTCATTTGACATACCCACATCTGAAGCCCTTATAATCTGAAGAACATGGACATCCCCTAAACTCTGCTGAAGATGTTACCTACCCTGGTAATGAAATGTTTTGAAATCAACCCACAAACTTGGAGAACTCATCCTACAACCAAGCTATAGATGTTTGCAACTATTGGATTTTATTTTAATGTTTTTTGCATAATGTACCTATTATGAGTGGATGGCAAACAGATTGGTGTAAATACAAACAAATCAATTAACCAAATTTGATGATTAAATAATGTACAATGTAAGTTTTCTACTTTGCTTATAGGACAAAGAAAGAGAAAGACTTAAAATCGTTCTTAAGTCATTTGTTGATGAAGGTGTGCCACTGCCTCTGCCCATGATAGTAGGAATAACTGCTGTAGATGATTTTTCATAGAGGCAGTCCTTGACTTACAACCACAATGGAGCGAAGAACTGTGATTGTAAGTCAAGGCACCATTTGACCAGTTTCAATTTTATTCTTGTATTTATGGTGGTCATAAAGTAAGTAATCCTGGTCATCAAGCAAACCATATAAGCAAGTAAATCCAGCATATATTGTACAATTGGTATTTTTTACTGTTTTCTGCTGGAAAACGGCAAAAAAGTAGCAAATAGCAGTCATATGACTTGTACCAGTTTTAGCTTTGAGAATGGATCATAAGTAGCTTTTTTTGGTCTGTTGTAACTTTGAACAATTGTTAAACAATTTATCATAAATTGAGCACTATCTGTAATCTACAGAATGAGCTCCTTCGAAAATTATATTCTTGCATATGATTATCTTTTGAGCAGCACAGAAGGATATTACATACTTTTAAATGGAAATAACTTGTGCATTAGTTGTGTCCTTCTGAGCAAGCTTGAATTAAGATTACTCTCAATAGCCATGAGACATTTTCCACAGTTTGTTCCAAAGGTTATGCCAGTGCTTAACGCTTCATTGTGTTATTTTCATTCTGGAATTGGTATGATCAAATTAAAAAGCCAGATAATAAATAAGATAATATATATCCCAATAGTTATCTATTGCTGTATATCCATTCAGATATGCTGTTACAGGAAAATATATTCATTTAAAATTTAATTGTATTTAAAATTAAAGCAACAAATTTGGTGAATGTCAGGTACGAATCAAAACAAATATAATTTGGCATAAAACTTGTTAACTTTTTAAATAACAGTATGATAATTTATATGTTTATAAATACTCATTATAATTTTATTTCTAGGTGGCCATGTATTTCCAACTGGCTTTTCAGAACAAAGAAACAGTTACAGAACAGGCAAGTAACTTGGATTATAATCTTACCAGTTTTTATCTCAGAGAAAATTTTGTTGTACTCAGTAGGATTTACCTTGTGTCAATTGGTATAGATTAATACTATCTGTTGGTAAAAAAATAATTCACATCTTACTTCTTTTCTATTATAGTTTTAATGTATTCACAAGTCTGTTCATATTCTTTAATATTTCAGTTTTGCAGGATTGTGTTCCGTAGGATTGAATCCTTGTTTATATTGACATTTATTGTTCTTCCTCTTAAAATATGTCTTGCATGACTCTTAATTTAAGCTGAGCATCCACACAGATTTTAATTTTTTTAAAAAAAAAACTGTTGATAAATAGGACTGGGAATGGGAAAGAGCTGAATTTAACCTTTCAGTAGGTTAATAGACAGCAATCCAGGTTTATTTATTGAACTCCACAAATGCATCTTATACTGTATAACGTTAGATTCTCAATTCAAAGAGAATCTCAATTCAAAGAGTCAGTTTTCAGAAAAGCTGTTTTTTATTCTCAGTCAGGCCAATCGTTTTTGTACTTTTGAGGGGATAGACACATATAGTTTTTTTTTTTCTTTAAGGATGATGGCTTCCTAATCCAAAACAAGCTGGTTAACAATATTCCCAATCAGTTATCCTCTGTTTGTGCTCTCTGGGGATTGAGGGAATTATAATCCAGTTATCATATGAACCATAGAAGCCTGTTTTACAATATAGAAGTGAATCTTTGTAGCATAAGATACTATTATTTATTACAAGGCACATATTTTACATGCAGTTTATATTGCCTGTTATTAATATATAGTTCCGTGCTTCAGATTTCTTTCATAATATTTATGAATTAAAAGAGGCAAAAATTGAATAGAATATCAACACGTTATACAGTGAAATATCAGCTAGATAGATTTCAGTGAAGAAGACATTAAATGAAAATGACTTCTGTTGCATTTGTTACTTTACATTAATGTAAATGTAGAAATTTTGTAATATTTATAATAATTATGCAATGATATAATTGTTTCCATTTTGTAACACTATTGCTTATGGATAATCAGGAATCAATTATTCCCAATCATTACAACAGTTTGCTTTGTTAAAACAAGATTGTACTAGACATTTATATCTGTGATCTCTTTCTGTACAGGGAATTTTAGATACTCAGGTAGCCCATTCTATCCACCAAACACCTATGATAGGTATACTGGTGGACTCACTGAGGAAGAACAATTTGAAAGAGCAGTAAGTAACAGCTTGAGAGAAAGAGGTAAGGCAGAACAGCTGTAAAGTGAATGACATGTCATAAAATAAACGCATTTCTCTTTTTAGGATGAGAAGCATACTTAATAACTTTTCTTTTTCTCTTAAAACTGAGACTATCCATTTCTTTCCATGGATGCAAGTTCTTATTGCTCCTTATTTCAAAATATCATCAAAATAATACTAGAAACCCCCTGAAAACTTGATCCACTCTTTTTTATCGATATGGGACAGCTGTTATATAGCTTCTAATCTAGGTTGAACTATTTCTATGATGTATTCCGTCCAGTGGGCAGTCAGAGAAGTGACTTTACCAAGAGCTTTGAACTGCAAGAAGTGTCATCTGCACAGAGCTTAAGAATCTATATATACTCTAAAATAACACAATCTCTCCCTCAGTGACACACACACCTTCAAGACAGCTGCCTTAAGACTTGGGAATTTGGCCATGCCTTGCTGCCTCACTGGTGTACACTTATGGAAGAGTGTAGGTAATTTGCTCAGAGTCACATAGTGGGTGGACATGGAGCAGTCTGCACATGAAAATGAGGGCTGGGGCAATCATGGGAGATAGTCTTGATGCCTACTTAAGAGGGTATTTCCCAAATAGCAGCAAAGAATTGCGGCATGGGCAGTTCTTGGGGCCCCAAGAATGGCCCATGTAACACCATTACTCCGTGAGCTGCATTAGCTGCCAGTCTACTTCTGGGTGCAATTCAAGGTGCTGGTAAGCACCTTTAAAGCCCTTCATGGTATGTGCCAGACTATGAGGAACCATCTCATCCCAATGGGATTGGTCTGCTCCACCCATGCCAGCAAGGGAGGCATGCTGCAGGCTCCATTGGCCTGGGTATTTCAGCTAGCAGGATCCAAGAGAAGGGCCTTCTCTGCCATTGCACCTGCTCTTTGGAACATCTTGTCCCTCAGAGTGAAGTCAGCTCCAGCCCTCCTGACCCTTCTGTAAGAGCCTAAAGACCTGCCTCTGTCAGTTAGCTTGGGGTTCCAATGGGGGAGTATCACAGTGGAGGTGGTTGATAGTTAACAATAGATCCCACCTCCTCCCATCCTTCTCCTACTCTCTCCATCTTTTAATTGGGCCACAGTATTTGGTTCTTTGTAGTATTTTATTTATGTTTTTTTTAAAGTTTTGGTATAGCTTTTATCTTTTTAGATAGTCTGCTGCACAAAGTTACAATAGTTAAGATGGGTAGCCAATACATTTTACATAGAAATAAATAGACGTAGAAATTCAGATCTGTTAGTCTTAATGGTAATACAGTCTGTCAACACTGCATTATGTGAGAGAGAGAGCACCACCCACTGCTGCCTAGACACCAGAACAATTCGACAGCCTTGAATGTAGTTACTAGTTCTTTAACTGATTTCTTACATTGGGACGATATATACTTCATTTATTTTATATCTAAAAAGGAGTTTTGGCTAATGTCTGTGCCTCCTGCTTAATGAACAACAGTTTGAGATATAGCATGCAGATGGATAAATGGGCACCAAAAGAAAGACTCTGGTTAAAGATATTTGCCTTATTCAGAGTGAGTAGGAGATTACAATAGTGGTATGGGCAGTGAGGAGAAGGAGGAATCCTTGCTTGAGATAGGGGCCTGGAAAAGATAACCAAGAAATCACTTTCCAATAGTAAGTTTGCTACTGGACAAGAAGCTGCTGCTATTGTGCTGCCCGTCCATTAAAAACCTACCAGTAATAGTTTATGTGCTTTGCAGATGTTTACACAGAGCTGTTGTTACTCATATTGATTTTGTAGCATTAGCAATAATGGCAAACTCTTTATGTTTCTATAGATGAGGTTTTGTAGTCAGAAGGAAAAGTGGAATCTTGTTTTCCTCTACTCTGCTATTTGTATAATATTTGATTATAACTACAGTTGTGTGAGGTGACTACTCTCAGACTATCTGAAATAATAACACATCAATTTTAAGTGTCTGGAAGTTTTAGAGGTTATGTGGACAGCATTTCTCTCTCTCTCTCTCTCTCTCTCTCTCTCTGTGTGTGTGTGTGTGTGTGTGTCTCTCTCTGTCTCTCTCTGTGTGTGTGTGGGTGTGTGTGTATTAAGTTTTCGTGGGTACTTACATGTATGGTATTCAGCTTTGTTCGGGTATTTTCCCACGTCATTATAGTTGTGCTTTTAAAGTTGTAGCAGCGTTTCAGCAGAATCTCATCTGCCATCATCAGGCTTCTGTATTGTGTTCGTCTGGAACACAATACAGACGAATACAATACAGAAGCCTGATGATAGCAGATGAGATTCTGCCGAAATGTTGCTACAACTTTAAAAGCACAACTATAATGATGTGGGAAAATACCCGAACAAAGCTGAATACCATATATATCTCTATCTCTATCCCTATCTCTATCTCTATCTATCTATCTATCTATCTATCTATCTATCTATCTATCTATCTATCATCTATCTATCTATCTCCATCCATCCATCCATCCCACTGAAAACATTTCTTTTCTGCATAATTCGGGACATTCCCATTCAATAGCTGATTGTACTCTCTCAGTTTTTCTCCTAATAGAATGCAAGTATTTAAAACTTGTGCATATCCTCCAGTTCTTGGCCAGGATGCAGGAAGTGCCAAGTGCTGCCTCTTACATTGTGTGTTCAATAAAGGTTTTAAATAGCTCTGGATGCTCATTAGTTTGTGTTCCCAGGAAATACAGTGACTTATGATTGGCTACTGTTTACAAAGCCACAGCTGTGTTAGTTTATTTCACGCAAGAAAATTGCCACAGAAAGTCAGAAAATTGTGATGCTAATAATATGTATTGTTATCACTAAGAAAAAATATGTCATAATTATGGTATCTCTAGTCAGTACAAACAAATAACTAGAAACAGATGAATGCTGAACACCCTAACTATGTGGAGAGGAAAGCCTAAGAGTTTGTATGTGTAAATAGGACAAGATATTTACTTACATTGTAGAACATACATTTTACAAATTTTGATAGAAATAAAACTTCATACCTCATTCTTTGCATTGTCAAATTTTGTTTTGGTAAAGATATCCAGAGTCATCATTGTTATAATTAACTGATTAAAATGAAATAAATAACAGAAATATATTTATCTCTTCATCATGATGCATCTTGCAAAATCATTTAAGGATAACAAAACACTATGTAATCACCTCGACCACATAATATAAATTGTGTAAGATAGCAAAAAAGTCTGAGTTGTTGCTTCAGTGCAGGAACTCTAGTGAAAAAAGTTTTAAATATAATGTGAGAAAGCATAAAACAGCATTTGATATTCTTAATAATTCTTAATATTACTACATCTAGAACAAAAAACATAAAAATTAAATTTCAAATAGTATTTAATTTTTCAGTTACAAGGGTAAATATATTACTATGCCTTTGGTTCCTTCCTCCCAAATGTTTGGCAAACCAACTTGTAACACAAAGTTTTCATTTATCCTTGACTGCAAATTTTTGAAAGTTCGCTTTTTATTATCCACAGCACAGTGTTTGGGGTCACTATCACTTGAAAGCAAACTAGTTTGGCAGGTTTTCTTGCTGTGTTGAGCTGCAAAATCTTTATAACCACTGGAAATCTGAACTTTACCTTGAATTGGCACAGAAAATCTTTTATTATGGTTGTCATAACCATCTATTAGATTATGTGATGAGATACATCTATGTACAAGTGCCCACCCAATGCCAAGAATACTTTTTAGAAAAATGTATAATTTGACAATGCAAAAAACCGCCTATGACATAGAAAAGCTCTAATTAGAAAAACACTTAATTATCATCTCCTGATAAGATGTGCTCTGTTTCCTGCCCCATATAATAAAACTACTAAGGCCTAGATCAGTACTATTGTCAAAGAATTGATTTTAAAAAAATTCTCTATTAAAATTATTATAAAGGTGTATGAGAAGTTATGTAATTTTGTGTTAAAAATGTTTCTCACTTTGGCATCTTCCAGATGCATTAATTCATTTATAGTTCCTAAAAGCATTTTAAATCTGTAGAAACCTTACTGCTGATAATTTAGGTATATGTCTCATTCAGAATTTACTGTTCCTTATGAAGACTCTTAAAATTTGTGTTAATATGTAGTCGCAATCATGTGATTGTCATTTTGCAACCTTCCCTGCCAGCTTCACCAGAAAGTCAATGGGAACGGAAGGTCACAAGTTGTAAAATTCCTCTACTCATGCACCACCCTCCAGCCCCTCTGTGTCTACATGGGCCATTTGTGCATCCTGCATACCCTTGCATTCCTTCCAGTCAAACAGATGATATTTCCTCAAATCAGTAATTTAGGTTTTAATTGTATTTTATTTTTCATTCTTTGAGATTAAAATAGGATGATACCGAAGCCTGTGAGGGGGGCACAAATAGAATAAAGAGTATATACTATAGTACTGTACTGTAGTTTGTATGTATATTCTGTGCCGTGTTTCCTCATTGCATATGTGCATCTTTTCATTTCTTTTGCTTCTTCTGACTTGCATCCAAACTGCAAACTCCAAAAGAGTGATTGGTCATGTATTCTTTTTATTATATGCAGAAGAGCTTTCTGAATTTGGGCAAATGAAATGATGTCTTGGTGTTACAAGTGATTCAAGTTGAACTTGATTCCAGCTGACTTCAAAACTTACTTTGTAGGGATTTTGTCAGGAATATAGAATTGATTTGCCACTGCCTTTCTGCAAGCTATTTTTTTCAACTTCCCTATCTAGCCTGCAGCCCTGGTATTCCCTGGAAGCACCAAACACTAACCAAGCTCAACTCTGCTTAATTTTCAAGTTTAGATGAAGTCATCCAGCTGCTACAGTCTGCTGAGGCCCACCTGAATTATCAAAAATTATACAAATAAGTATTTAAAATTATAATTTTGAATTATATGCCCAGGTGAATATAATTGGAAAAAGAAAGCAAGAGATGCTTTTGTTGTATATAAACATTTTCTTGGCTTTATTTTGCACCTGTGGTTTGGCTTCTTTCCTTCTTGTCAGCTCAGTTTCTCCTTTAAGAACAAAGTTGCTTATTTTTTCACAATGCAACAGCCTCCCAAGTTCTTAATATTTCAAAGCAATATTGCTTACACTGGTTAGAAATTTTGGAAATGACTCTTCCAGTCTACCTGACAGATACAAGACTTCAGATAACTGCTCTTACATGTGTCTTAATATTGCTAGGTTTTGCTATTGAAGAATCCTTTTTAAATGTATCCATTTATTAAGAAATGTAAATGGCCACCCATCTTAAATAAATAGCCCTTGGTAGTTAGCAACAATTTACAAAAAAAAAAAAAGTTAAAATACTCCAAAGTAAAATACCAAGGCACCATATAGCAAGTTTACAACCTTGCCCTAATGCCCAGGGGAAAAAGTCAAGTCACAATGGCCTTCTAGAAAATCTAAATTAGGGACCTCTGAATCTCGGGGAGGACGCTATTGCATAGGATAAACTTTATGGAAAAGAGAAAACACGTACACATTTCCTCTGTTCCTTTGATGATTATAACTTACGATGATTTGTACCTCAATTAATTTCTATCCAGATTGCATCAAAATTTGGACATGTGTTAGCTCTTCTACTTGCAATGCATATATTATATATTTTGAGCTGAAAAATATTTCATGTTTTTTCAAATTCTCATTCTTAATAAGGATGGATATACATTGTAGCTCTACAATGGTCTCTTCTGGGTGCCTTTCAGATATTTTTTGACTACTTTTCCCATTCCAATCTTGTATTCTGTGGGTGATAAGAATTTCAGCCTAACTTCTAAAGAATCATAAATTGGGAAAACTTTTCTAGAAATACCAAACCATACAATTTTTGAGAATACCCAGGAGATCTTTTTAAGCCACCAATGTATTTTAAAATTCTTAATTTAAATATCAATCATTTGTAAATATATTTCATTTCCAGATTGCAAAGTTAAAAGTATGTTTCTGTGCTTTTTCAAGCTGACTAAATCCTATTATGAATCAGAGTTAGAATGTTTGTTACATTGCTGATCTTTCCAGAAAAATCCTTTGCTGCATAAACCACATAATAGCATGTTTAAATTGTGAATTCAGTGGTGGATTAGTATAAAAAGTGTCTCTCTGTGTGTATTCATCCTTTTCACTCTATTCTGCATTAGATGAAATCCAGAGTGACATAGAAAATGCTAGATACTTGCAAATAATCCCTGGGCTTCAAATAAGGCAGACAATAAACAAGTCTATAATAGAGTTACAGCTTCCGTAGACCCCATCTGTTTCAAAATAGCCCTAATTCTGCTTACTATGCGGAATGTTTTGTTGACTGGGGTTTGGCCTACTTTCTCTAATGTGCTGCCTGTGAACCTCTGGAGACATCTGCTGGAAGAGGTGAAGCAGGACCTGAGATAGAATTCCTAACTTACTGGAACAGTAACTCTTAATTTGTTTAAAAGCTATAAAAATGTCTCCTATATACTAAATGTATACTAGTTTTTGTTATTTATTTGCTTAGAAGGATAATTTAATTCTTTTGAAAAAAATGAGAGTATTTCTGAGACAATTGCTGGTGATGAGTGCCATCACCAGTCTATCTTAATATATTCTCCATTTTTGCTTCCACATTATGGTCAAGATTACTGACCATTTGGCAGTTTGATTCCCACTGGCTCAAGGTTGTCTCAGCCTTCCATCCTTCTGAGGTCAGTAAAATGAGGACCCAGATGGTTGGGGGCAATATGTTGATTCTATAAACTGCTTTAAGACAGCTGTAAAGCACCATGAAGTGGTATATACCGTATTTGCCGGCGTATAAGACGACTTTTTTGCCTTGAAAAACATGCCTCCAAGTGGGGGGGTCGTCTTATACGCCGGGAGGACTCCGACTCCCACTTCGAGCTTGAGTTGCAGCCGGGAGGGAGGCTGGGGGGGGAGCGGTGTGTGTGTGTGTGTGTGTGTGTGGCGGGTGTCACTCGCCACGCGCTGCGCAACCTTTCCCCCTCTTCCTTCCTTAGCGGTGTGGGGAGGAGAGGATTCGAAGATCCTCACGTGCGGCGTACTTTTCTTTTTCTTTTTGCACGCAGGTTTTGCATGCGGGCGGCTGTAGGTTAAGGATGGGGGAGCCCCCGGGTGGGTTATCAGGTTTTACGGTGCTTCCAACATGTGCAAATGGTGGGAGAGCGGAGAAGAGAGCGAGCGAGCGCCCCGCTGTGTGAAATCCTGCCGTCAAAGCAACACTGGGGGAGGCAGGGTATAAATTTACCAGGTTAATGTAGCAATGGTGATTAATGCCCAGAACATTGTTTGCGGGTATTGGGGTGTGTGTGTGGTGGTGGTGAGGAGAGGTTGTCCTTTGAATGCGGAAAAGTAGGTGTGACCTTGTGTAGGAAAATAAAGAGATCCTTTTTAGCGTGTTTGGCTTCTTTGCCTCCCCTCGTTCGTTTTGACGTGGAGATAATGGCCTTCGGGCGGGAGGGGAAGAAAACGGTAGCTGGATCATTTCAAATTTCACTTACTCTCCTGCCTCACTTCAATATGTCTGAGCGACTCCAGATACTGGAAGACTTTTGAATGAAAGTGTTACCTCCATTTTTTTTTTTTAAAGAGGGCCACTTTGGGAAAAAAAAAAGATTCTAAGGAATTCCTTGTTTCTTGATTAAAGAGAAGGCATTGAATATACTGTTCCTTGGCAGCCTTTTCAGTGTCCGGGTTTTTGGTGTGTGTGTGTGTGTGTGTGTGAGAGAGAGAGAGAGAGAGAGAGAGAGAGAGATCAGCTGTATTGAGAAGAGAACGTTTCCTGTGTTCTCATTTTATTTACAACATATTTTACGCTTAATGGTAAGCAATGAAAAATATTTTTAAAACTCATTTCTAAACTCCATAGCTATTTGCATATTCTTGGTTCAAAATTGGATTAGCTCATTTCAAAATTGTCCAAAGCAGAAAAGTGCGTCAAAAAAAAAAAAAAGTGCAAAAGTGGAAGGTGTGTGGAAGAGGGGGTAGTCTTATACGGCGAGTATATAACAAACTCTATATTTTGAGTGGAAATGTTGGGGGGTCGTCTTATACGCCCAGTCGTCTTATACGCCGGCAAATACGGTAAGTCTAAATGTTATTGCTACATTGCAATTTAGTTAGCAATTTCTGTTGATTTCTTTTTTTCAAAATAACAAATAAAAACAAACTTATATGACCCAAAAAACCAGTTTCATTGTTTCCTATGGAAATGCCTTAAAACAATAGAAAAATGTTATTCCTGAGAACACAATCCCCAGTTGGGCTTCTGAATACAGAAGAAAAGCACTTTGTGTAGATGTTTCACTATATGCATAAATTTTGGATTATATCCAAAGATTGGAAGTTTCAAATAAATGTAGATCATATTGTAAAAGGAGTATTACCTTAGAATTCCAAGAGTTAGATACCCATATTTCATTTCAAGTGATAAAACCCATGTACTTCTCAGTTTTATATATTAACTAATAGAAATAAATATGCCTTGATGTAATGTTATGAATGTATAGTTTTTTGTTTGTTTGTTTGGTCCCACAGGCAGCAATACAAGGCATTACACCAGTGAAAGGAGGCCATATGGCTTCTGGCTTTCACCAGAAGAATTATCAGCTGAGGAACTCAGAAGGCAGAGGCTTAATAGATTTGAGAGGTGGCAGTAGTCTTAAAGTATATATATA